TTACTTAGCTCAGCTGTCAATCATCAGTCACCAACCCACTCCTTCACATTGTGGGGATCAGAGGAATTCTATTGAACACACCAGGCCTCAGCAGACTTTAGGACATCTCCCAGTCCTGGGACCCTGGTCAGGGTGCTCTAAACCATTAGCGTGGTCAAGAGACGTTGCTCACCCAGAATCATACAGAGGGCCAGCCATGCTCTTCCTTGTTGAGAGCCACAGCCCAAGTGGCCCCAGCAAACTTCCAGCTGATTGGCTCACCGCAGCCCCAGCAACCAGCTGATTGGCTCCTCTGTGGTGATGCTCATTGGGCTGTTTCCCTGCCCTTTCAGAACATGGAGCTGCTCATTGGGGGACTCTTTTGGCTCCGCCCACACGACCCAGCCAATCTGCCTCAAGAGCGGGAAGAGATTGGGGGAGGTGCTCGCAGGGAGTGCCTGAGATGGCAGTTGGGCTCTGAGGGAATTCCTGAAGGGCTCCTGTGGTGCAGCATGTGTGTTCTAAAAATAAAGTTGGTTCCCACTTGATAAGTGGCTTGTGAATTGTGCCCAGCCAGACTGCCACACTTCCTGACACAAGTAGAGGAATCCTGCCAGTGGAGTGTCTGTGCTACTGGTACATTCATCCAACAGACTTACCCCTTAGATGTCACTGCAACTTTCAGCTGCTGGTAATGACTCACAGTTTCCCAAAGCCTGGTCATGTACTCCCTCCTCCACTCCCCTACTCTCCATCCGCTCCCTTCCCCTCTGCTGAACTAAGGATCCAAAGTTTTGAGAGCCTCTCTGAATTGGTTTTGCATGTGAACTCTCTCATGTATGCCGGGCCATTGCTCTCCCCTGAATACTGCCAAACCCCCTTTCTTACTGAAGGTGTCCTATCTGCTTTCTTTCCCTGGATCCTGAATATTTTTATAGAATGTTTACTTCTGAAAGCAAAAGGGAAATGTTCAGTTGACATTTCAGAATTTAAAATCATGTGTAATTTTTGTAAGAAGGCAGATTATAATGGCATTTTAGAAATAAATTGTGGTAATATTTATATAAAGTTTAAATTATCCATACCATTAACACATTAACTCACTATTTACACTGTTATCTCCTTATCAGACAATATTTACATTTGCTCAAGAATTCGTGTTCAAAGACGTTGATACATGGATGCTTCATAATTCTATAAAGTGGTTACAAAATCGAGGTACATTTACACGTGCTATCATGGGAAGATCTTACATTCATTTCATTAAGGCAAGTTGCAGAAAATATGTACGTTTTTACCCAAGTATGGCAAAATGACAAATATATTTTATAGCACATTGTTCATTAGGATGATACCAAAAGAGGGGCCTGAATTATAGAGGAAGTTTGAAAACAGAGAATTGTGATATATATGTACTTTTAGATTTTTTTTTTTTGCAACAAGAATGAATGCACTGCTACCTTTTCAACTAAAATGTTTTAAAAGCCTAATAGCAAAAATAGCAGCTGTGTATTAGCTAAAGAGCTGTATATTAGCTAAAGTAACTTCTAGCTAATATTACAGACAAAACTCAGAACTTCAATGGCCAAACAAAGTAAAAGTTTGTGTTTAATGCACATGAATTCCGATGTGGTTTGGCAGGGGCCCTCTGCTCTCAGGTCACCCAGGGATCCAGACTGCTTCCATCCTATGTTTTGTTATTGAAAGGAGGAAGAAAGCATGGAAATGTATACTGGCTCTCAAATGCCAGGTGGGAGGGATGTAGAACTGGACTGGGGAAATGACCAAATGACACTGTCACTCTTGTCTCAATGGCAAGGAAATGTCACATGTCCCTTCCTATCTACGAGCCAGTGGACAGGAGTGTTGCCCCATGGCCAGGAAGGAGAGAGGATATGGCTGGGAACTTGAACTCTCTCCCCAAATCTGTTAGAGAGTAGGAGCTCAACCGGGAGCAAACACTGTCCTTGTTAGGCCACCACACTCATTTTTTTTTTTTTGGAGCAGTTTCTGAGAAGACCAGATTTGCCTTGAAGTTTTAGGTGCCTGCTGTGGCTGATGACTTCAGTCCAACAGTATCCCATGGAATTGAAGAGGATCACGTCAAAGCTACCAGATAGGGTTCCCCTTCTTCACCCCACAGGACATTTCTGCACTTGCCTCTGCAATACCGTCCTCTCAGTAGGCTGAGGGTTACCCCTTTCGTTTGATGCAGGGTAAAATCTTAACCACTGAGCCTCTGCCACCCTCCACATGGCCATTCTTGCCTGAACACCTGGACGGGTCCATTAGTCACACTGAAACCAGCATTTTCCTGTGAAGCCAGTGCCAGACAGGCAGCAACTGAAGGATGGTTAAATATTCTTTTATTGTCAAGAGCTAGCATGTGTTTCTTGGACTGTTTTATACCTCCTGGGAGACTCCAGGCATTTATGAAGTCAACCTCAATAGATGTTTTCTCCACAGTGATTTTCAAAGCATTTCTTCATCTAATACTCATAAGGAAAACTTTGGTGTTTAGCCATTCACTTGTGTATGTGTTCAGAGGTGAGTGACACAAAACATACCCATTTAAAAATCTGATTTAAAATATCAGGTGGTTTTAAAAACCACGTAACTTCAGGGTTATATCCCAAGTACCAAGAGTATGCCAATTACTACTTTACTCACAATCCACTGGAAAACATTTGGTGGGTGTGTTGAAGTCAACTGGATTGGTAACTATGTGTCTAAAAGTCCCTGTCTTTTATTTCAAAGGATCTGTTCATATCATAGGGTAAAGGATGGGAGAGCCAGATGACTTTAGGGGGTAGGAATGTTCTCCATCACCTGGAGGACAGGCAATTCCACACAGTCACCAGAGAAGGCAGCAGGGAAGGGCTGGGCAGTGGACCAGATTCCAGAATTTAAAAGGCAGGTACATGGGGGATGACCAAGGGAAGGGTTCTATAGTGAGAAAGGATCCTGAGACTGGACATAATGCTGGAAACAAGGCAGTCCATTCTCAAGGAACCAACCTCAGACAATCCCCAATTATGTTTGATCCTGTCACCTACTTTAGGACTGCTTTTGGTATGTTGGCCTACCTCCAGCATTCTTCTTTTTGTCACTAGAGAGACATTATACAATGCTGAGAAGAGAAATGGATTCCAAGTAAGAAGGTTGTCCTTGGGCTGGGACAAGGGGTCTCACCTCGGCCCTGTCATTTACTAGCCAATGATACTGGGAAGTTCCCAACCTCATGAGCCTTGGGATCTTCCTCTATGAAGCGGGGCTGAGAAGGCCTGTTTGGTCAGATTGTTGGGATGCGTAGACTGCATGTAAAACACCTAGCACAGTGCCTGATCTGTACTGGCACTGTAGTGAGAGGCATGAGGCTGTTATTTCTTGTAGTATTTCTTCTAGTAGCCTCTACAATTGTGGAATGTTGTTTCCATTGGCATTGCTCTCGAGGATCCGTTGGAGAATACAACTCAATAGCACATGGAACACAATTGGCCAAAAAGGAAATTTTATTAAGTTAGTAAATATTCCCTCGTTGGAGGACATATTACAAGATCTAGGTGTGGAGGAGTCTCTACTACTGGATGCAGTTCAAAGGTCCTAGAATTTATTCGTTTATTTATTTTAAATACACGACAGTGGAATGCATTACAATTCTTATTACACATATAGAGCACAATATTTCCTATGTTTGTATATAAAGTATGTTCATGCAAATTCATGTCTTTTTACATGTACTTAGTGTTTTTTGCATTACAATTCTTATTACACATATATACCACATTTTTTTCTTATCTCTGTATATAAAGTATGTTGACACCCAATTCATGTCTTCATACATGTACTTTGGATAATGATGTCCATCACATTCCACCATCCTTGCTAATTTAACTCAAGAACCAGCTCCTTCCCTCCCTTCCAGTTACATTTCCATCTAAACCACTATTGTCATTCTTTTCACCTCCAATGAAAATCTATTCTTTGCTTAGAGTTGTCTAAGTTGTATTTCAGGTAACTAATTAAATGTTCAAATGGAGTCCACTCTGGGTCTCCCAGACCAAGAAAATGTCAGTATAGAGGCTTCTCGGCACTTCTTCAAAGAAATGTCTCTGAAGTTTCCCTGGAAATCCTTGTATATAGGACATAAATCACCTAGTTCTTGTGCTATTTAAGTGCACTGGGACAAGGGCTCAGGATACTTCCCATACTTGACACTAACTCTCTGCTTTATTCATGAAGTGAAAAGAACTGCTCAGAGCAACTTTTTAGTCTTCCAACCCTAAGACACACCATTTGAGGTTCTGGCCCTGGCCACCATAAAGCCTCAATTTATATCACTCCCAGAGATGGCAGCAAACTCCTTGGCTTGACATTGGACATTGACACTTGGTTACTCTGCCCTGAAGCACAACCTACTCACCTACTGCCAAATGTTCTTTAAATCTCAAAGTACATCTTACCATCTTCCTGATATGTTTGCTGTTCCTAGACTTTACTATTCCACAGGTTAAGTTGGATCTGGCTTATCCTATATCTCTACCACTAACACAGGGACTTCCAAAAAGCAGATGTTCACTGAAAAATGGGGTAAGAGGCAGTGAGCAGGGAGTCTTAGTAAGTTTAAATTTCTCCAACAATTTTTAATGAGCCAAGCATATACAAGTATATATCTTTATAATTTTATAGAAACAAAACAAAAGGCTATAAAACGTAAGGACAGGTAAAATTATCTTTTACATGTTTGTCTTTCCTTTACCTCAATCTATTTTAGTGCTGAATTATCTCACATTTCCAAGGAAGTTTTTATTCTAATGCCATGTTATCTTGTTCCAGAGCACAAAATAAGATGGTAAAGTTTCTGATTTATTTTACAAAACAGCAAGACTCTTAAACTATATAAACAGCAACATGTTTGTGAGCAATGTGTCATTCAGAAACTTAGAACTCTGAAGTTAATTAAATCTTCCATTAAAAGAAACAACATTTGAAAAAATACCAAAATGAAAGAAAATCTCCAATTCACCAATACAGACTAGGAAAGCCACTTGTTATATACTAAATTCACTCAAGCCCCATTCTGCCTTTGCACTACTTAAAAAAGTGACTGCTATCTTCAAACACAGAGTAAAGTGTCTGCCTCGGACTTCATTTGGGACAAGATAAGATACTGAATGTGAACTTAGAATATGCCTTGGCCCTGACCACTCCACTACACCTGGATGCAACTCTGCCTTGGGCTTCCTCTTCATCTCTTAAAAAGCCTCCTCATACCAGATAGAAAAAGCATTGGGAGGAGTATCATTGACCTTGGTCCAAAACTATAGGACTTTCACCTTGCTAGTTACAGCATGAGCCCTTCGACCCAACAGGAACTCATACCAAACAGGATCACTGCTGGGCACCTGGAGATACTCCAGGTACTGTTTCTCCACCAAATCTTCAGAGATGTGTTTTCTAGGTTCCCCATAGATAAAGTGTTCCCTCCAAGCATGTATACCCATCACACTCAGCACTTCCCAGACAACCTCTTCAGGGGTGCAGCTACCATCCAGAAAGATCACAATCAGAATATTTATCAGGAGACCAGTTTTGGGCATGCTCTGTTCATCACTTAGCATTCCATCATAGATAAGATCCAGGGCAATGACAAGAACATAGGAATGACTAGAGGGGTCTATTTCTATGTCAATGCCAAAGACCAGCTGCATGCACTCAGAGGCTTTGCTGAAGATCATGGGGAAGTGCTGATGACACTATTGAGCATTTCTGCATTGGTCACAGGCTCAGTCATTTGATACTTGAGGGGTAAGATAAGGTTGTTGTAATCAACAACCTTATCATCTATGACATCACTAATCAAAGACTCAGTGCCTGGAAAGGCCTGGAAGTTTCTAAAATCCTCATTTTCCTGGTTGCTGAAGCCCTCATGGAATTGGCTCTATGGGCTATAGGCCATGGTAGATAGGAAGGAACAGTTTCTCTGAGAACAGTGGAAGGAACCCAGCATTCTGGTAGCACAAACATCCTTCATAGTACTCAGGATCTGAGAATAACAGGAATTAGAGGAAAAAGAAGAGAATGGACAACAGGAGGGAAAGAAAGAGGTGCACAACTATGGGAACTGGTACATCAACCAGACCAGTGCCACCCTTTAGGCCTAAAGATGCTTTTGTTGGTGTTTCTAATTTTGAGGCATCATGACTTTCCTTGGGAATATCAGGCAAAAAGATGGACAGGAGCTTGGTATTGGAGACTTACCAGCCTGGGGAGAGAAGGTGCGTGTCAGAGCCTTAGCTGAGAACTGAACCCTTGGAACCCCTCACAAAGGCCCACTACAGGTCTTCTCTTTGGGCAATGCTCTAGGGCTATTCAAGTTCCTCTCCTGGTAGGCCTATTTCCTGAAAACCTGAGGCAGGAAGTGAGGCAACTTCTGTGGGTACAGCAAGCCCACAGAGCACAAGGCCCAGGGTTAATAGTAGGGCTTCTGGGGCCTGAGCTCTGTGAGACTCCCTCTGTCCTGGTTAGTGTGGGATCCTTGATACACATTCCCAGAGTGCCCCACACCATGACTCCAAATACTGCCTGGGCCTCCTCTGCTCCAGGACCTGAGGACACTGCCTCATACAAAACCTTCACGGCCTGGTTCCAGGAGTTCTTGTAAGAGGCACTGAGGGGCCCCACAGGTTTCAGACTCCAAGCACAACCTGATCCACCAGCCCTGATAGGAGGGACGGGCTGCCTTCTGTGAGGTCCCCACTGCTTACTCTGGGCCCTTACCTTTCCCCTGGCAGGACCTGGATACCACCCATGTGCTGGCCTGAAGGGCACTCTGTGAAGAAGTGCCCACCTCCCTGTGAAGGAACACAAGGCAGTGAGGGGCCTCACATATGGCCGCACCTTCTCAAAGGTGAAGCAAGAGCTGGCCAAATTCAATGGTTCCGTGTGTCCTGGCCATGGAGGATCTGGCTCAGTCCTCACCTTAGGTATGAGATGCTCTCTAATGATCTAAGGGCACCTTCCTTAAACCTTAACAAAGCCTTAAACAAACCCTGTCTACGTGAGACACCCAGAAAGGAAGTGAGGGGAAGGTAAAGCCAATGGAACTGGGTTGTCCCATGGCTGAGAAGAAAGGGCAGGTGAGGATCAGGGTCCTTGTGTTCCACTGAAGAAGTTCCTTCTGTCCTTACCTGACTCCTGGCTATGCCCGAGATCCTCCTTCTGCTTTCCTGAGCCCAATCCCCTCTTACTGAGGCCTTCACTTCTCTGAAACCAATGACACACAGAAAATAAAGGAACCTTTACAACCATGCCTGGGCTTCCTGTGCTGACAGCAGGTAACGGGAAGATTTCTGAGGGGCATCCACTGTATTCTGGGACCCTTGACCTTCCCCTAGGGTCCTCACTTTACTCTTGGGTAACTGGGACACCTGTGTCTGATGACCAGATAGTGATCCCTGTGCTAAGATGAAGTTACCCTGTCACATGAGGTTCCTCACTTCTCCAAGAGCCTGGTACTTCCCAGAGAAGTGAACAGTTTCCCACTGCCCTTGTGTAGGTTCTCCAGGGCTGGTGGTTGGACCTGGGTCCAAAGTATTATGGGCTGAGAGATTACCCAAGTCCTTACTCATGCCCACGCCTGCCCTTCCTCACTACCACCCCATCTGAGATGAACTGACGTCTTTACACCAAGACCCCATCTCCCTGAATACCTCCCATATTTGCGCCCATGGCAGAAGATCTTGCCACTTAGGGCCTCCTAGGGCTGACTATAGTGGGCAGGCACACTGTGTGGTATCCACTGGGTCAGAGATGGGGATACTTTCAGTCCATACCTTGGGTCTGGCAGGACCTGGATTCCTCCCTCTGCTGACATGTTATCACCTCTTGGACCAAGGTCCCTACACATATAAAACCTCTCAGCCAAACCAGGAGGCAGAAATGAGCCAGAGTTACTTCCAGTGACCCTGAATGGGGTAGATTACAAGGGAAGCCAGGTTCTGTGAGGTCCCTTCCTTTGGGAGGTATGGCATTCAGTGCCTGTCACCAAAGTTCCTCACCTTGATTCCTAGCAGATGCTGGAATATCTCCCAGGGTCCTGAGAGGCAAAAGGAGTCACTACAATTCTCCCCCATCCTAACCTCCGACATTTAGGCAACAGGCTGGAACTCCCAGGGTCCCTTGCGGCCTAAGGGTTTGTCCCAGAATATTACCTTTCATCCCCAAGTGCAGGGCTGACCATAGAGGTCACTTGGATGATTTGACAACCCTCCCACTGTTGTGGGGACTCCTCAGTCCACCCTCAGTGCTCACCTTGACAACCCACAGCACCCTGTCCCTGTCCCTTCACTCCGCCAACGGCTTTTACTCCCAGCATCCCCTGCGACTGGAAGGAGTACCCTGGTGTACCGCCGTGGAGATGAACAGGGCACTCTGGAATTCTTCCCCAGGGGAAATGACTGGCTACAAAGGGACGGAGGGCGGGGTGAGGGGGAAGAGGGCCTCTTCAGTCTACGCCAGCTCTCACTTTGACACCCACAGCGCCCTGTCCCCTCACTCCAGCAACGGCTTTTATTCCCAGTATCCCCTGCGACCGGAAGGGGCACCCTGGTATAAGGTCGTGGAGGCGGACAAGGCACTCTGGAATTCTTCCCCCGGGGAAATGACTGACTACAAAGAGGGGGGTAAGAGGGCATCTTCAGTCTATACCAACTCTCACTTTGACACCCACAGCATCCTGTCCCTGTCCCCTCACTCCGCCAACCGCTTTTACTCCCAGCATCCCTTGCGACCAGAAGGGGTACCGTGATATAAGGCTGTGGAGGCAGACGGGGCACCCTGGAATTCTTCCCCTGGGGAAATGAGTGGCTACAAAGGGAACCTACCCCTGGGGGTACACATCTTCCGTCCACTCCAGCTCTCATCTTGACACCCACAGCATCCTGGACCTGTCTGCTCCTTGTGTGGCTCAGCCTATGTCTTTAACTCCCAGTGTGCCCTGCGGGGAAGCAGCACCCTGGAATTCTGTCCCCCATACCCCCATGCCATACAGTCTAGAGGACTTCCCAGGATAGTTTGGACATCCTCCCTCTGTGGTAGGGCCTCCTCAGTCCACCCTCAGCTGTCACGTTGACCCTAATAGAACCTGGTCTGTATGCACTCCCTGCTCATCGCAGGCCAAGGTAATAATTAGTTAATTCCCACAGTGCCCTGCAGGGGATCAGAAAATCCTCCCCTACTGACACTCAGGATTCAGAGCTGACAAAAGATGTCACCAGGGATTTGAGTGACACTGGATGATGAGGTCTCCTTAGTCCACCCAGCGTTCACCTTGACCCCCAATAGACTACAGGCCCTATGTACTCAAGTGACATGTATTACGTGGCTCTGGCAACAGGTGTAACTCCTAGTGGTGGAAAAAGGACACCTTGGGCTGGCCATAGAGGCAGCCTGGGTCTTTTAGGAACCCTATTCCTTGGGTGGGGCCTCCTCAATCTACTCCAACTCTCACCTAGACCTCCAAGAGACTCCAGGCCTTGTTCTCTCAGGTGACCTGCATTGTGTGGCTCTGGCATCAGATTTAACTCTAGTTGAGGCCATGACCCCTCTTCTGACTCTGTGCCAGAACAAGGTCGTCAACTCTCTGACCCACTTCGGTGGAACTCAGTGGATGCCACTTAGGACCACCTGCCTGGACAGCGAGCACAATGTGATTCTTCAGGGCCCACCTTCCTTCCTCAGACTCCTCACCTTGGTTTCTGGCCAATGCTGGAGCCCCTCGCCGGCCCACCCATAGTCCCCTGTGGTGAAAGTGGGGGTGGGAATTGTAAGATTGACACCTGGGCCTGCCAATGATTTCCTAGTGCTGAAAGCTGTTCCCTGTCTGCACAAGGAGACCTGACCCAGGAGAGCCACTTTCTTTTCCAGCCTCCGTGCTCTCACCAAACCTGGTTTCCCAGAGATTTACTAACACCCAAAATTGTAAGTAGCAGCAAGTCAAGTGATTTGGCCTAGGCTGACTGTCATCTCTACCTCAAATTACTAGATTGAACGCTGACCCTTGCACTCTACCTCCAAGCTACATCAACAATCCATTGTTTTGTTTTTGTTTATTGTTGTTTTGGGGGTGTTGACAGGGTTTTGCTAAATTGCTCAGGCTGTCCTGAAACTTGGGATTCTCTTCTTAGCCCCAGCAGTAGTTGGAATTATAGGGCCTATCTAAGGCTTGCTAATTTTGAAGTGATCTAAATTTTTCATAATTCATGTAGCCATTTTTATTTTTAAACTGTCATTTAGTATCTAGAATATATTTTCCATTTTTGCCAAATATATGTGTAACACATAAATATCTAAAGTATATATGTAGGTTATACTTATATTTATGTATAGATACTTAAACATGTATACATATGCAATCATGCATGTATTATCTACATATAATATATACATTTTCTGTGTATTTATACATATTTTTATGCATGTATGTGGGTTATATATAACTACAAATATATCTTTGATTAAAGAATACTCTTTATGTTAATGATTCATACTTAAACTCACTATTCTATTTCTAGTGCATTCTTTCTATTCTGTTAAAACAATAATGGTTTTGAAACTCCTATCCTTCCCAGCTAAGAAGGTTTCTAGTCGTTACTAGCAGACACTCTAGATCCCTAGTCTCTCATCTTTTCCTTCTCTCTCTCTCTCTCTC